ATCCAATATTATTAATATATGTGTATTTAAAAAGATAAACATCTTTTCAAATCTTTTAAGTTTCATATAAGATTGACAAGCTATTTTTCTTTTGGATAAGATAACCAAGGAGCTATCCTATGGTAAAGTAGTCTATAAGTCTCTAGTATTTATCACATTAGTTATTTTTAGAGTTTCTGCCAACCTCACGATGTCTCTCTGCTGTCTGTCTACTGTCTCCCCACCCTTTTTCTATCTTTCCATCTACTTTTCAGGGGTGAGCAGAGGCAAACAGGTGGGTGCAGCATGACCCCACCCCTGGCCATAGCTGACTGGGTCAGGGTAGACCTCTAACCTAAGCCAAGCCAAAGTCTTGAGGAATTTGGAATGGAGATAGAAAGATAGGGCAAAGGGAGGCTATCCTCTACCCACGGAGAAGCAGAGAAACCCAGTCAGTAGGAAAGATGAATATAAGAGCTTTGCAGAAAGATGCAGACATGAACAGAAAAAACTCTCAGGATTACTGCTGGCTTTCCAATTCTCGGGACCAGTTCCAGGATTCCAGAAGCCTAGCTGTGTTCCTGATCTTGGATTCTATGAGGCACTCCTGTCTCTTCATCACATATTCCCCTCTTTCAGACATATGCTAAGGCAAATTGATTTTTGTTAATAATCAGATGACTTCAAATTAATAAATCGCTGTGGTCTGATACACATTAGTAGTTGGCAAGAGCTGAAAACGATGAATTACTCAGTTTATTGTTTACTCAGGCAAAAAAGTAAAGAGGTATAAAATTCAAAGGATTATAAAGAACTTCAAGAGGTTAATAGGTAGGCCACATGCAGAGAAACTGTTTTACTAGTGCTTCTACCTTCTTCACTCAATGACACTCTCTTTTAAAAGTAGCTGGAACCAAGAGCTTCAATTATACACACGTTTCAACATACAAATTTTGGGAGAAAAAATTATACACATGTGGCTATAACCTTTGAAAGCTGCTAAATTTGTTCACTCAGCGAACACTGCCTGGGCACCTAGGACATGCTAGGCTCTGTGAAAGACGCTGCCTCTGCCTCCAGGCTACGTGGAGGAATGAAGAAGCAGACAGACTCTTCTGTGCAGAGGAAGCACGAAGGGCAAGACCAGCCCTGTGTGTGAGCTCATAGGATGTGCACTCAACCTACCCTAGGAGGCATCAAGCAAGGCATCCTGGAGGAAGTAACTGTTCTGTCCTGAAGGGCCAAGGGAAGTCAGGCAGGCAGACAAAAGGAAA